CTGCATTTTGTAAATCTTAAGTTATGATAGCTCATAAGAGCTATTTTACATTTTTAAACGAATTCTTAGGTGTTAGACGCTTTCCGTACCACCTTTGGAAATGTTTGAAGCTTACACAAAAAAAAGATTCCCAAAAGCTGGATTGGATGCTGTATAGTGATCCATTTGCTACAACTAGTTTTCAATGACGTGGCAATTTGGATTTCTCTGTCATGAGTATTGATGGATGGTGCATGAAAGGTATACAAACGATATCAGACTTGCTGGTGTTGAGTTTTGACAGAAAAAAATTGTATACAAGACAAGCAAAGAAAGCTATGTGAGCCACGGTCTTCTAGACAAGACCAAAAACCTAACAAAACGTGAAATACACATAATAATCAACACATTTTAGTCATTATAATTAACTGAAAAAGTTTATTATCGGAAATATATGTAAACTAAAAAAAAAAAGTTAATTAAAGCATGTTTTTATCTTAAAATATATATCATTTCAAATGAAAGGAGTTAAAATGTTAAAAAGTATGGTATACAAGACAAGACTGCCAGTGATGCGACGCGCGATGTATTGAACTGATTAAAGATATGTTCTTAAAAAACAAAAAAGATTTTTTTGTGTTCGAGCAGCGCCAGTGATCGAGAAATTGAGGAGTAAAAGATTAGCGCGGTTTTTATTTTACGTTTTGTAAGCTAGCGCTCGACCACGATCCCACCTGGTGAAGTGGAGATTTGGTCGAAAGATGGTACGCGCTAGCTTAGTAAGTGCCTATTCACTCTATTATGGTTTGCGCATGTTATGCGGAGGCATGATGACGATATAAGCAAAAAAAAAGAAGTAATGAGATTGAATGTGGATGGTCACAAACGTAGAGGAAGACTAAAAAAATCTTCCATCTCTTCAACATTCAAAGACCCTTGTCTTGCCGAGTCAATACTGCGGTTTGATGTTTATCATTAAAATATATAATATAATATATTTTATTTATGTATGTATCAATACAGATATTTATTGCCAAATCTTGAGGAGCGTGATAAGAAATACAATATTTCACGACGCTAGCTAAAGTTTTGATGTTGAATGTGGTTAACATTTCTTTTTGTTTCTAAATTAATAATTTAATTAGTCCATCATCACCAGATGCACTACAGACTCGGTTAGGCTTGGGCCTGATCCACAAAATTTCTTCAAGTCAGTGCCGATATTTTTGAGATCTCGTTGGGCATTGTTCAACCTTCCCAATTTGGTCTTTTGCATGATCTACGTCCAGAGGAACCAGAAAGTTGACTTTCTCCTAGAAGCTTGGGTGCTCTGCAGTCACTTACCTTCTTTTGGTTCTGACTTATATGGAAATCGTCACCCTTTATTGTATGCCTGAATCACAATTTTAAACTGTAGAATAATTTAAGAACTGAAGAACAAGAGAGTTGAAAAGAAGAGTTGCTTCTCAGCTGCATTCCCAGGTTTCACAAGTTTAGTGGAGGTGGTTATCCAGGTTCCGGTTCGTTCTTTGCTGAAAAATATGCTTCCATCTTGGATCAAGAAAAAACGGTCAATGAACGGATATGTGTGGACCGCCGCGCTATGGATTGCAGGACCAGGGTGGTGCGCTGTACTCTCCTCCGAATTGAAGACCAATTGTACCGGTTTTCGGCCATCAAGCTTTTCACTTGTCTGGATCTGGTCTCTAGTTTTGCCAGGTATCAATAACTGAAGAGCCGTGCTATGGAACTGCGTTCATTGATCAGTTTAAATACGATCGAATCCCGTTCGTGTTGGTGAGCGTGTCGTCGAACGTCGTTTTCAGCAGACTATTGATGGAATACTGTTCGAAGCCAAGAATTGGTGTGGATGTTACGTTATCGCTTCTATGGATGTAACTGAGGAGTTGCAGTGGTTGGTAAGGTTCTGGAGCAGCTTAGTGGCGGAGGAATTGTCGTTTTTTTTCCTCTACGCTGTTTATTTTCTTGACTACGAGTGCAAGCGAAGTTCATTCTGGTTACCATGGAACCGAGGCTGTATCAGAGTTTTTTTTTTTAAACTTATAAACCAGCGCGAACTGGATGGATATCTTGACCACTGGATACTTTGGAAGATTAATTAAATATTAGGTTTTATTAGAAGATCAGTAAAGTAATCTTTTAAAAAGGGATAAAAGAATAATCATTGCGTGGCAGTGGAGCCCTGTTTCTCAAATGTTGAAGGAAATGTTGACTGAATGACCGCCGGAGCACAATTCTACGGTGGTGCGTGTAAGGGCGAATTAGCTGGCGTTCGTTGAGAGAGTTGAACTTGAATTCCTTACGTGTGTTTATATCTTGGCTGTCGAGGATGGGAAACAAGAATGGATCACCTCTGTCCAGTTATCCGACGAAAAGTCGAAGACGATTAAGGCAATGCTTTAAGATTCAGATTTAATTAGATGTCCACAACATTCATAAATAACCGGATTTACTGAATTGTTCAAGATGATCATAGTAAAGAGGAAGGAAATGAATAATGAAAATAAAGATCTAACCTATTTATATAAGTCGACCTAGTACAAAGCCAATTTTCAAATTTATAAAGTTACTGTTCGATTTATAATTTCATATTTAATTGGTAACCTATTAGTCTAGTTTCATTAAAATAACTAATAGTTTTTTTAAAGTTGATGTTAAAACAGTTAACGATTGTGATCGAACGATGTATTCTATATGTATATTTAACAAGTGTTTAATAACTACAAGCGAAGGGACTCGCTTTTAGCAGGAAGGCCGAGCTGTAAGCCATTTCATATATTCTGTAATTCCTTAACGTAAAACGTTATTTAGTCTATGCTATAAGTCAATAACACTTTTGTTTATTTAACATAACAACATTAATCATTTGTATTACGATCCAAATGATTATTTAAATATTTGATTCTCAAATATAAAATAGAAGTATTCAACTTATCATGTTATTTATCTGACGGTATTTCGTTATCGTAAATTAAAAGTATTGTAATTGCTCGTCTGAATGACGGCCATGTTTTTCTGACATTCGGGAAATGAAAATGACAATGTAACAGCGGTGTTTTTGAAAAAGTTGTTGTTTACAATTCTAAAGGAATAATATATGAGTTAAAGAAGACTATGTTTTATTTGAAAAAGTATTCTCCGGCTGTGACTCCCACAGCATGTAGGTATTTAAGCCAGCGGATTTCCACAATATTATGTAGACTTGCTTTTTTTTAATATTAAAAAAGAATATCCATAATTTTTCGCCTCAAACTTGTCTAATACTTAAGCTTTTGTTGTTGAAATATGACATAGAACACATGACTGAAGTATCGCCCATCCATCAACTTTGCTGCAAGTTATGAAAGCCTGTTCGGACAGTTTATTATATTTAAAGTGTCCTCTATCAAGTTATGATTGCAGTAAAAACGATTTTGCTTCACTAATCAGTTCCCCGCCATCATTATCCATTAACTGAACCCCTCTTAGTTTTTGCGTGGCTTAATCAATCGTATACTGAAGTTCAGTTAATCATGTTATATTATACCCGTCACATTTTCTAAGAGACCTCATAACTTTGATTGAAAAGGTTATAGAAACTAATGCCTTATAAAACACTACCCGTGGGTTTCTGACACTACAATCTACGTTTAAAACAACTTGTTATCTCTGTTTTGTCAAAGATTGTGACAGTGATGACGATATGTTTTAAACGGGGATTCTGATCTCAGAAACACACGGTAAGACCTTAACGTACTCGTCTCTTGATAGTCTATTAAAAGTATATATATTTAATAAAACTAGCTGTCGCCCGCGACTCCGTCCGCGTGAATATATAAAAAAAACTTAATTAGTGTAGCCCCACCCATCCATCCATCCACATCACATCCATCTAAACATTGGCATTTATAATATTAGTAAGCTAAATAAAAAGCAGCTCTTCCGTCTTCTGAATCTAATCTACCTCCTCGCCAATTTTCAACCATATTGGTAAAGCCGTTCTTGAGTTATAAATAGTGTAACTAACACGACTTTTTTATATATAAGATAAGATATTCATATGGTAAATGTTTAAAGAATGCAATCAGCTATCTTACTCACTTAAGCCTAGCGATATTTTATGGTGCGATTTTTTGTCACTAGTATGAATTTAGAACAGACATTATTTTGTGCACATTCAACAATAATATCACGACGATTTTTTAGTACACACTACGCCTGTGACGTACGTTAATTTGCGAAATAAACTATCCCATGAATAACAAAGTTACAATAGCATGAGTTAAGAATTCCCGTTATGTATGTAATAATCAAACGTAAAATAACAAAGCATGCAAAATCATCGCCATTTACATACACTTGAGGAAGTATCCACTCGAATCGACAGTTGTTTACATTACAATGTCTTGACGTCTTCAAGATATCAAGTATAATGTTTGAGAGTCAAGAGTTGTGTGTTCTCACGGCCCCCAGTCGGTCCTTTATGCGTCAATACTCTGGAAATTGACACTGTGTCCTTTTGTGTTAAATTGATGATTTATCAAATGCATCCCTAAACACGATTGATGTTATGAATATGATGTTTAAAGTAAAAGAAAAAACTTTATAAGGTTAAATAAAAGTATTATTTTTTTACATACAGGACTAGATGTATTTATTTCTCGAATTTGAGCGAGTAAACTCTTGATTTTTCGAAAATGCGAGGATATGATTTTCGACAATAGTTGAACTCGAACCCACGACCTTATTATGTTCGTGCATTCTTGCGCATGCCATAACGATACAGAATATTAATATATAGATGGCGCTACCTAAAATTTTCTGAAAACAGCATGGTTTCCACAAAACAGAGCTTTAACATAATAAATACAAGATATTGTTTACTTTGAAATTTTCAAGGCAAATCAAATTAAATTGCATTTTATACTGTGATTTCAACAATTTGCATGAAAATGGAAAACCAATGTAACTGTCACTTTCATTGCGATTTTTGAACGCATGACACTTGTCAAAATATCAAAATAAGAATTTCATACAAGTTACAATGTGATTTTATTTTACGTAACTTTTGAATATAATAAATAACCAGGCCCCAAATTGAGACAAAAATGAATTCCTTGTTCCGAAGAACATCATTTTCCATTTTTAGGAAGTTTACAAGACAAGAACTTAGGTTGAGACCCATACATAATGTGGTCAATAATCTGCGCATTGAAAAACATTTAACGGCTGCGGTTTCTCCTGTTAATTTTTCTTATAATGTTATACGAAATAAATCCAAAAAGGTATGACGTGTTAAATTTTTACATTTCAATCAATTTTCAGTAACAATGCAGATAGTTTTTAATACTTAGTATATGTTAATATTCTAGTTTTATAACCTCCCAAAATAATCTTTACTATGTTCTTTTATAAGAACAGCAGACAGACATAGATTCTGATGATGAACAAGAAGTGTTTGATGAAGATGATGTGTCATTATCAAGAGACTCGAAAGTTGTGAAATTCAAAACAACATCACTGAGAACAGATGTTGTAATCAAATCTGCTCTTGGTGTATCTAGAAAGTAAGTATACTTTTATCTCATAAATTTCTTTAATATTAATATAAGAGATAACTAATACAGTAGAATCTGAATAAGTGAGAATACAAGCGACAGTAACCTTTTTACTCAAACCCGATACTAACAAAGATTATATGTTGAGACCAGACAATGGCTCCTGTTTATTTATTTATTGATTTTTTTTCAGTAAAGTAGAGCAAGTTTTCTATGAAAGTAAAATAAGAGTAAATGGAAAGAAAATAATGAAAAAGAGCTATACGGTATGTAGAATGTTATTTATTTAGTAGTTTAATTATAATTCTATGATTTTATAGTAGTCAATAATAAGGATATTTATCAGGGTGTTTCTGGTGGGCCAATCAGTCTACCAATCAATCTTTCTGATGTGTTTTCCCCATAGGGCAGATTGATTATATGGATTCAATCCACCAAATGAGAACACCTACCTATTCATGATAATATTGTGTAAAAGGTTATTTAAATATTTTAATAGTATCCAATTTTAATCATAAATATAATAATAAAAAAACAACAATGTAACACTTTAGTAATTTGTTTTAGACATCCAAAAGTACCAGAGAAGTTAATTTTTAACCAACTTTGAAAAGATAAAGGTTTTTAATTAGTTTATGTTTTCAGGTAAAAGTAGGCAGTGAAATAGATGTAATAAAAAGTGTGAGTCCCCAAAACCCGGATCACTTGTATGTAGCTCGCATTGAAGTGCTAAATATTGTTCCTAAAGAAGAAGACATAGCAATCACTGTGCGGAGATTTAAAAATTTACTTATAGAGAATTATGAAGAAGATCCGTACAAACCTTCAAGTGCAAATAGTGATTCTTAGTTATAGATAATTTAAAATAAATATATACAGTATGATTAATATATTTATATTACATGATTTACATATCCATAATTTCATTTATACATAGGGCGAATAGCTTTTTTATCATAAGGTAGCAAACGAGCAAGGCATCTGAAATCATAGACATTCATTGATGCATTACCTGCCTTTAAAAGTTTGAGGGTCCAAAAAATCTGAAAAAATTAAGAAATTCTTCCATTAATTTACTGCCTTGGAGACTCTGCAGGTACATTATTTTGTTTGTTTTTAAATTCTAGTTTATCATATGTCCAAATCAATATCACAATCTGTGCTCTCGAATATAGATATTTGGGAACTAGAAGTAGGTTTGTTAAAACTTTTATTAACACTTTCATTTGGTTCTTTTTTAATGTCGCTTAGTAAAACTATTTCTTGATCTTTTATATTGTCTTCAATTTTTTTTGGATCATCTTTCTTAACATATTGAAATTGTTTTAAGAAATTTAACGTTTTATTTTCGGTTTTATTTGATTCATTTGCTTTAGTGTCTCTTTTAACTTCTTCAGAATCTTTTTCGATATTATCTTCAGTCTCAATTGTATAAGATTCATTATCATTATTTAAATCAATATCTAAATCATTAAAAATATCATTAACACTTGGAACAGCATTTAGCATTATTGTTGAATCATTATTTTCATCGCTGTCAGATTCTATTTTGTTCTTTTTTGAGAATTTTGGTTTATTTTTCATAACCGCACTAACATCTGCGGTTACTTCTTTCCGTTTTCTTTTTCGTGTTTTCTTTTTTGTATCTGGCAATTTATCGTCAACTTTATTTAATGCAGCATGCTTTTTTAATGTTGCAGCTAATCTGTTATTAATTATTTGTTTTTCTGTATTACTATTTTCTTTGTTAGAGTTGTGTGGTTTCTCATCTTTTTTAAAATATGTACTAGTTATTAATGAACATGACAGTTGAATATTATCATCTGTAATGTCATCATATTTTATGAATAATTTAGTACAACCCATTTCTATATCACTCTCTAAAGTTTTATGATCAGTTTTTAGTAACTTTGCATAACAAAGTAATTCTTCTATCCATATTTGGTTTAGATTTAAGTGTTCCAGTAATGTTTTTGCTGTACATAGATATTCAAAATCTGGATATTTTTGGAATGTTGAATGTAATGCATCCATTGTGTCATTTAATGTACAATCTTGCATTGATAAGTCGACTAGAGAAACTGCCATTATTGCATCAACAGGTAATATTGTTGTCCGATACATAAGACGAGAATGAGCTTGTGATAATCTGAATAAAAAAGATAAGAGAGATTATTGGTAGTGCTTATTTTACATGAGCATAATAACTATAGGATTCCACAACTGAACATGTGTTAAATTAAAAAAATAACAGGTTTTGATACCAGGCTTTTCGGCAGCATAAATCTATGGTTATGTTTAAAAATATTTATTACAAACCTTACTAAACTGTCTAGCATTCTAACTGTAGTTCTTGAGGGATCTCTATTCTGTGATTTTCTTTGTAGCATATAATATGATTGAAGGATGGCATTTGCTGATTTTGTCATTTCCGTACATCTTGGCCCCACTAAACCGATATACATCTGAACAAGTAAAGTCACAAGTTATTTAAAGTAATATATAATTAATTAAAATTGTTAGTTAATTAAATAAAAATGTCACCTGTAATTTTTCAATGGTCCATCTTGTTTTGGATTGCTTAGCGCTGGCTGCTCCGTGTAAAATGTACGATGACACCAACTTATCCCAGGATTTGTTTTTAGAATCTAGCAATATGAATATTAAATCAAATCTGAAATTAATTTAAATTTTTAAAACACCATAGACAAACGATTCTACAATATATAGCTCATTATAGTAATCATTAAAACCGAATATTTTTCATATGTCTATATTAAATAATTTATTTGTTACTTAGTATATGCTTATGAGAAAGCAAATAGCAGCAATCACAATATCTTTATATTAAACTCCCCCCCCCCACACACCGCCGAAAATATCAAATCTTTACTCCTATTAGTTGTTTTTTTTATTTTGTAAGTATAAAATTATCCTATTAATTTGATTTATGTTAACCTGCTCAACAAGGGTGTTCCGAGGGAGACATTGGTACTAAGTGGCTCGTCAGTCTGATAATGCCCTTTGGGGTTGCAAGCCGCTATCACTGCGCACCGCGTGTTCAATTTGCACACTATTCCTGCCTTTAAGTTAAAAAAATAAAATTAATTAAATTCACTACATTTTAATATACTGCCTTCTACATATAGATTGTTGATTATTTTTTTGTTAGTGAAGGAAAACTGTAAATCTTAATAATATTATAAATGCGAATGTTTATATGAATGGATATTTGCTTAAAGGCAACTACAGAATCGCTGCATGAATCTCGCTTAAAGAACACATAGGCTACTAATTAATATTTTTTTAAATTCCCCATTCCGTCTCATTCCATCTAAGCTTTCGCATTTATAATATTAGTAGGATTAATTCTTGTTAGCTTATTGCAATTATTTATGTGATGTTTAACCTTTGCAATAGAGATGGTTTGTTGCTCCATAGCTTCGTGTATGGCAGTCCTATCGTGTTCCCTCAAGTGAGATATCTCATCAATGCAGCAGACGCCGCCGTCAGATAACACTAGAGCGCCTGCTTCTAGCTGCCATTCACCATCTTCCTGGAAATACACAAATATCAAATAAAAACGCTTTTCGACCCCTCCAAAAATTCTTCAGTTATAAGGAAAGCCTAGCAAAGTTTCTTAGTAGATTTTTTACTCCAAGGTCTAATTTATCAAATCTATAATGAGTTGTAATTACATAAATAAGGAATCATTAAATATATTTAAAGTTAAAACTAACTCTTAGCGCGGCGCAAGTGAGGCCAGCGCGCGTGCTCCCCGCCCCCGATGTGAACACAGAGCGCGGCGTTAGCTCCGCCCCTGCACGTAGTAACTGAGACTTGCCTGTACCTGGCAATTTTGTTTTATTTAGGCAGATGGCAATCTAGGAATCCAAATTATTTGCTTCTTTTTCGTTATGACCTCACAAGTTTACATGCCCATAGATATGCACTTGTAATACGATAATTATAGTCAAACAAGGATCTCTAAACCAGTGACAGTCGCTGCTTTCGCGATTGGTTCTATCAGAATATATATAAAAACTACTTAGATATAGAAAATGAAATAAAAGAAAAATTACATGACAGCTACTAGCAAAAAGAAGCTTGTGACAATTTTTGACGTTGACAGAGGGGCGCTAGTGAGCTGTCATTATTTAGTTTGAGTTAAGCCCACCAATTCAAATAGTTTTGTTGGTCTATAGTTCCTCTGCTATCATCTATTCTTTAATGACAGTTAGTTTTTTAATATATTTACCTGGATCCCCAACTAACAGCAAATGACACTGTCCCCTTACATGCATTGCATATTTATCTTCCTTCAATTCTTTATTAGAGTCATCATCAAACGCATGGTTGGACCCTGTAATGACAGTCAGAATAACAGCAAGTTTCACCAAATGTAGACCGTAGACCTGAAAATGAGACAATATGCCAAATCAATTCCATGCCTTGGTGTGTGTGAAAAAAAAAGTGAGCTTATCAAGCAAGTCAGCATTGAATTATGTCAAAAAAATATTATGACACTAAATACAAAATCAAAACTATTAACTACATAAATAATCGTATAATGATGACTCACCTGTGGACATACTGAAGCTAAAATCTGGTCTCTGCCTCTCAGAGGACATGCTTCAAATTTGCTCCAAAACTCATTAAAACAATCCTTAACATCCGGCGCTGAGGCTATGACTTCAGATCTCTGAGCATTACTCACTTCTAAATAATTAGCTTGCATCACTAATTCTACTTCAGATTTTTTATTTTGTACAGAAGGACGCCAGCGTCGACGAATTGTGCCACTAAAAAGTAATAAAATACATAAATTATCCTAACTGGCTTTAGCCCACATCTCGGCCCATGCATAATTAAAGAATAAACTTAATTAGTAGTAAGCATATACTTACCATATATTAACATCATCACCAGGTTTACAGCAATCCACTAGATCATCTTCTAATACCACCCACATTGATCCGGGTATTGTACCAATACTAAGCTTATTCACTTGCTCCTAAAAGTAACATACTGATTTAAATTATTCTCATGTTAGGTTGCTATTGGCTCTACCAACATTTTATAATAAGTTATTTACCTGTATTTTAATTTCCTGGTAATCTCTACAATGTTCTCTTGATACAAGATTTACTTGAGTGAATGTTGAACACTTACATCTCATATCCTTATTTCCACATTTAGACGGAGCTCTTAATATGTAGCGGTTCTCAAAATCAGCTTCAACACAATTCTCAAACTTACACTTCATGCATACATACTTCCGTTGGTATTCCAACATTTTAGTTTGAGTTACTCTTACAACTGTCCCTGAATTAATAAGAAAAAATACCGTACTTAACTTTAATCCAGATATGCATTTATTATATGTTTATTTCAACATTGTTCTTCAAAATTTAGCAAAACAAGGGCTTTTAACACAAAAACAGAAGTGTAAGAGGAGTGCAACTGGTTAACTTTATATACATATAATTATATATCTTCATATTGGCATATTACCTGATACTTTTAAAAAACATCCCATGTCAACATTCTTCGGGAAGATCGTACGGTGTAGCTCAGGACAAACAGGTAAACCAAAAAATCTTGCTTGTACATTTCTTTTCAAAAACTTGTATCTCAGTTGGCTAATTAAGGGGTTGTATTCCTCACTTTCTAGAATAGTTTGTTGAGCTTTTATGATGTCATGATTGCATATTGGTAGGTTTTCTACAGGGCTACAGAGAACTTTATCCCCAACATCTGGATATGTTTCAAATAATTTCATGAAACTGGAAAAGATATGGTAATTTTTGTTTTTTTTACATAATGAAAGAAAAGTAAACTATTCCGTATGCTTAGGATACTTACTCGATTTTAATACTAAAATATCCCAAGTTATCTAATTCAGATAATATATTGGTACAATCTTGTAAATGAAACTTAAATAAATATTCGAGTATCATCTTAGATTTAACAAGTGTATCATGTGCTATAAGTGTTTAAATAGGATTTTTGTTATTTCTTTTCACATTATATTTAATAGCTTATTAATAGTGTTTAATTCAAATAACAACAAAACAAAGTTTACTTCAACTTTAAACTTTCGAGTTAAAATAATGTCAATTGTCAATGTCATTGTCGTTCAGTGTTGCTACTTGCTGCAAGACTTTGCAAGACTACACAAGAATATTTTAGGAAAAAAAAATGATTTTTTTTTACTGATTTAACAATTTTGACTATTTAAGGTTTTTGATAGTCTTTCAGGAATGTAGAAAGCAAAAGAGTGTCTGACAGAAACAATTACAGGTCATAAATTCGTATTTTCTTACTTTTTCTAAATAAAGATGGATTTATTGCAAGGTATGGATGACCTTTGGGAAAAATACTAGTGGCCAGATTTCCTGCGATATCAGTTAGGTCTCAAGAGCGTTAAGATTCAGGTTTATAAAACATTTTGTAAAATTAAATTTATTTATTAACTTTATCATCTAATTGTGTTATATTCAACACATCTGGATGGATCAGTAGGAAAGTACTCCTGACATTTAGTCATAAGTCGTTTCAAAGCCTGTATATATTTTCTTTGCGTTTCATCGTTCATCACATGCGCCACATTTTTTGAGAAAATCTTTTCACGGCCAGTACGAGCGTGGATGCCAACCATAGTTACACCAATTGGCCATGGCGCATTTCCTATTGCCATCTGTAGGTAAGCATCACTAGCCTGAAAAAATAAAAATACCAAATATTTCAATAAGTACATACAGTTATGTATTTCATAGATTTTATGTATACATATTTGTTATACGGTATCTACCAGAACAGCTGCATAGATCTGAATGATACTTAGTATAGATAAAGGGAGAACACTGCACAGACGAAGTCGCCGGCAAAATATATATTTTAAGTATTAGATGTGTTGCTGTATTAAATATATTTTCTTTAAGACGATCCTTGCCTTTTAACTTTAGACTAGTTCTCACAAATCATACATACCATTATATAATTCCTTTCTAATAGATGTTTTGTTATTTCCATGAGACTGTCACAAATGTCCTCTGGTAAAGATTTCTTCTTCAGTTTTCTTGTTAAAGGTTTGAGGTACACTTGAGTCTGTGTGTATGTTGCTCTAGCCATTTTGTGCTTCACAGAATTCTTTTCCGCCGCTGTTGCAGAATTAAGTTGCTGGCCCCACATTTTTAGGAGAAACTGCAAAAATACATACATTAAATTAATATTGGGGCTTGCGTCTTACTTGAATATTTTAGGGATTATCAATTAATTCCTCCCTTATAACTAAATTTACGTGTATTTTTTAATTTAAAATAATATTACATTTTCCATCCCTCCGAGTGATGGTTTGTGATTTATTCCGAACCCATCCCCATAATTGATGAATTCCCTGACTTGATGAACAATCCTATCTGGATTTTGGTACTGTTTATTAATTAAAATATCATACCTGCAACAATGTCATAATAACAGTCATATCATGATTTCTGTCACCCTGTCCCATAGTTTTTGCCATTTCTTGAATAAATTCATATGTGATAGAATCATCTAAATCATCTTCATTGTGAGCTTTCTCATTGTCATTCTGAAATTAATGGATTTTTTACATAAAGCCTGTTACACACCTGCAATTATAGATTATTAGTTCTAATGATAAGAATATAGAAATAAAATACTTACATTTGTTCCTAATGCTAATATTTCATTTAAATATGCTTGATCTACTTTCTCCATTGCTTCCTGGAAGTCATTTCTAAGACCCTGAAAAGAAAATTCATAAAGATAACAAGATTTTTTAACAAAACAAACATGTTTTTTGCATAGGCGGTATTGAAACTGATAAGTTCATTTAAAGCATTTTTAACTCACTCTATTTGCTTCAGGTTCCTGAATTTCTATTCTTCTCAGTCTTCTAAATGACTGTACTTCGTTTTCTCCAAATAAAGTTATTGGATGTCCTCGCTCCCTTAACCGTTTCACAACTTCAGTTCTTGGTAGTGTTGCACTTTCTGTTTGTTTGCTTTCATTTTCTTGTATGTTAGCTGAAAACAAAATGGTTGTAGATATGGGTGGAAACACCAGGCTTTCTAACTTAGTCAATTTTGAAATCGAAGAATATATTTGTTAATTGGTATAAATTACATAATAATTTAAACGCACCTTTTTCTTCATCATCTTTTGATTCACTTTGTGGTTCCTCAGGTTTTAAGCCATACTTTTTGAAGTACTCCTCTTGCTCTTTGGCTATAAGCTCACCCCTCTTGAAGTACTTCTTAGATGAGTTCTGATTTTAAAAGAAAACGTATTGAAATAATAATACTAAAGGACTCTTCATACATTAAATATCTAAAATAACACATACCAAAATGTTCTTCTCTTCAATAAGTTTACGTTTTCTTGCTATCTCTGCTTTTAGGATATCCATATTAATATGAACAATATGTCCTTATTATGCACAATACTTAATACCACGTTATTAAATAATTTGTTTTTCTTGCTGTTATTATTACTTTTTTTTTTGTAAAACAGTAACACAAGACCAAGCCAAGACGTCAACGTTATAAAATGACAACTTGATTTGACATTAGCATTTTGTATAGTTGCCAGCATTTTTAAATTTTTTGGTTGCTAGATTTCAAATAACTAGTTAGAGAACTATTTGCATAACCCATTTCATATTTTATTTTAGAAATAGTATTATATGAATAAGTCCTATTTTAGTGAATTTGCCTTATAAACATAGATTATACAGCAAATAGTTTAGCTGTGAAAAAGCTTACCAGCCGGCTTTGTACAAACGGGTTTTTTTCGTTATTCGAATTTGAAATTAATGGCATTCGAAAAACAATTCATAAATTTTCAAAGCCTTTACACATTGTTCATTTGACTACTGTTGGTTTTCAAATCCCACTCTTTTCTTTTTGTAATACTCATAAAAATCTCGCAACTTAAGTGGGGAGAGTACACTTATCCCTTATGTTCTTACATAAATACCTGTAGTACTCCTTGTACGTCCATTAAGTTATAAGGACAAAATGTATTTTGTATTCAATACAAGGAAATCGTGAAGATGATTTTATTTAAATCGGCTTTCTTTGAATTGTTCTTAATATAATTACCAGGGCGATAACAATTTAATCACAGTTATAATATGATAAGAAAGATAAAAATGTAGTGATTTAATCATTGACTATTATCAAAGTTAGATTTATGAACATTACGCTTGTACTTACCAAAAACAGCATTACCATTAGTGTTTACATGAAAATAATGTTATTTCTAAAGTCAATACGATTTAATATTTCATTTTACTGCTTGCTTTGGATAAGTTATTTATCGATGTCAGAAGGTTAATATTTAATATATTTTTAGTGATGTATGGATGGAGGATAATAGTCAATAAATAGTTACCTTGTTAAATTATAGGATTTTCACCAAGACTAATAGGCGGAGAAAGAGCCCCACAAGAATTCGGGAGATTTCATGGGTCGTTACAAAATCTAACGGGACATCATGTTTGTGGCAGTGCAGTTATTTCTCGAAGACATTTGCTAACAGCGGCGCATTGTGTCTACAGGTGAGGTATATATTTTTTTAAATTTAAATAAACCACTGTTTATTTTTTTTCAGCCAACATAAATAATTTACATTTATTAAAATTATTAATGATTTTTATAGAGTCAAACCACGATATATTAAAGTAGTTGTTGGGACAACTAATTTAAATAAAGGTGGCAAAGAGTATCATGTTAAAAGTATACACTTATATCGTGAATATAACATTACTCGAAGGATAAATGACATAGCTGTAGTTAAGATAAGAGGAAGATTTAATTTGAACGATACTGATATACTCCAGCTTCCGAAAAGAGATTTGAAAGATGGCGATCCGGTTATATTATCTGGATTTGGAGCAAAAAAGGTACAGCAACATAGCAACAGATTAAAATTCGTTTTATTTTATTTTTTAACTAACCACAGTGTTTATTTCGTACAGCCTTATGGAGATTCTAGTCGCAAGATGTATGCATTAAATTTGACGGTTTTTTGTCAGAAAACATGTCGATATGCTATGCGTTATTCAAGAGATGTAACAGATTCTATGTTTTGCACTTTCACAAGAATCGGGCAAGGCACCTGTCACGTGAGTTAATTTTCATTATTTCATATTTATTTAATTTGAGTTAATAATTTATATTTTTTATATTTGTAGGGTGATTCTGGCAGCCCTCTAATCAAAGACAATGTGCTTGTTGGTTTGGTATCATGGGGAATCCCTTGCGCCATGGGTTTCCCCGATGTCCACACAAGAGTATACCCCTACCTCGAATGGATTAAATCAATAATTTCTGAAAAACTATATAAAAGGCTAGAAGTAAATACTGAAGTAAAGTTATCTTTGTCAAAATAAGCATAAAAAAGTTAAATAAAAAATTAAAACCAATATAAATTATACCATTTTATTTATAAAGATTAAAATTTTAGATGTATCCACCTGGAAATAATGAATTATTAAATAATTTGAGGTGAAGCAAGTCTTCCAAATACTTGACTTCCAAAAACCCTATAATGGCTTAACAAATCTCGATAAAATTTGGTACACATGTAGAACACAGTCTGAAAGAACACATAGCCTACTAAGTTCTTTTTTAATTCCACGCGGTCGAAGTCGCTAGTGGAAACTAGTCTATAACTATAACATTACAAAAGCAAAATACAGTCACAAACAGGGAATAGATTCTAGGAAATCTTTGTACGCATCAATTTCTGGAAAAAATACCTTATACTTATAATCATAAGGTTTCAAATCCGATAATACAGCCAGCACTGGTCTCCCATGAGCGCATTGAAATGGTGTTCTGCAGCTTGATAAAGAACTGATGAGTGATGCACATTCACCCTTCGATAGCTTATCTCCAAATTTTATTGCGTATCTACAAGCCTAGAATGACAATGCCGTAACATTTTAGTACCCATTTTCACTAAGGAAAAAACCGCGCGACTAATAACGCACGCTTTAGTGGAAAAAGGACAAATGACTTTATAAAAGCCTAGAGTCGTTAGGTTAGTTAGGAAAATGTGTTTTATTCTGGTATTATTAAGTCAATTGTTTTAAATTACTGAAAATTAAATTTTGAAACTTACCTCACTAAACACAAGGTCCATTATTGATTTGGGATACAACAAAGTATTGCCTCCCTGAGATTTTATTGCTTTGATTTCTTCTATGATTAGATTTTTAATAGATTGTATAATGACATCAGCCTGAATAGAAATTAATTTAGACATCACATAGGCCGAGGCGGAAAGCATTTTTATGCAAATAAAATTGAACTTTATGCTATTGTAATAAGGTTTAATTTTACTTTGTATGTCAAAGTTTGTTTCTTATAAATATAAGCAAAAATAAACGTTGTTTTAACCGATTAAAGTTGAATTTCATTTGCCATTAAAAATCTGCTGTAAGAAATCTTTCGCAAAAGTTTTGAACAAGATAAACATATTTTGTTTTTTTTTGGGACAAAAATTAATAAAAAATTACCTGTCTACAATATTTTCCAAATATCGCTTTAGGTACAGCATTAATAGTGATCAGAGAATCATTTTCTATTTTCCAATCTAGACCGAGTTGTTTAAATGTATCTTTAAAATTGTTTAGGTAAAGAACATGGTCCTTGGAGAGTTTCAATGAGATTGTTTCACAATTTATACTATTCCATTGATCAACATTTTTATAATCTGATTAAAAAAAATTAAGTTTTAGGTTTTTTTTTCTACAAAATAATTAAAGGACATATGGAATACATTCGTTAGTTTTTTTTTTTACAATTACCTGATAAATTCTCCTCCAGTCTAATTCTTTCGTGAACAGCATGTTGGTCGAATAATACCAAATGTTTCATATTGAGGTTTTCGCTTTTTAATTCGGCAACTATAAACTTTCTGTCGACTTGACCTAAAACCTAAAAAAAAAAATTAAAAACAAATCTCATTTAAATATTGTTTACCATGAAACAGGTACTAACTTTTGCGTCCTTCAGAGATTTTGTGTCAAATTTTAAACAATTTGGATCTTTGTTAATCCTTTTAGGTTCCTCATTAATATTTGAAACTTTATTTTCGTATATTTTAATACTGTCCAATACATCATTCGCAAAATTATTATACAAGTCCTGTAATAAAATAAAATAAATTTTAATATAAGGATGAAAGAAACATAAAAACAATTAACATTTTTATAATGTTTTAAACTTACATCTTGAAAATAATCTTTTTCTAAATTGTATGAGCAGACATTTTTGTTGTTACAATTCTCAAATATTGGCGACATTCCTAAAATCATAAAAATAATTAAAAACAAATATTTAAAAAAAATACTATTTTTTTTATTTTATTTAATTACCTTTAGGTACAAAATTATGTCTACTTTGTAATACAAAATTTTCGGTAATTTTTCGTTTTTCATTATTACTAACATTTGGCATATTTTCGTTATTTACTTCGACAATTTCAATATCTTTAGGCTTAATTTGATTATCTTCATTGCATATTATTTCTTCGTCTTTATTATGTTTATTAGTACAACAATTATTTAAATTTTCTATATCCACGTTTTGCTCCTCTATTACATCGTTATTTTCTACTTCAATAGCATCTGATCCATTCCCAATCCGCGTAATGTTTGGAACTAAATTAAAATCTCTATTTCTTAGGTTTTCTTCTAGACTATTTCTTTCTTTATTAAATTCTTCACTACTGAATACATTATTTGATTTACCCATTTGTAATATATGATTATTCTGTACTGTTTGAAAATGGCGTGATATTTCTTCATTAAAGTCAGTCAAATTGTCAACTTTATCTAACACATAACAATTATCATTTTGGTTTTCATCTGGTTGATTGTTTGTCTCTTTCTCTTTACTGTTTTGTTCTCTGTTTGACAAATTATGGTAGTCATTTAAAGACAGATTTCTTATATTTTCAATAGAGTAAAAATACCTTGACATTACGTCGTTTTTGTGAAAAGAATTGCTAAAATCATGTCTTATTTTTGCATTGGTTATATTGTCTTTAATAGCTTTTTCTTTGGCTATATTAAAATCATTGATTTCTTTATGACCATTGTTATGATAAACAGCTTCACATATATCTATAGGTTCTATTTGTTCATCTGTTTTTTGACTGAAATTAAATTCAGGCATATCTGAATTTGGAACATATTTTTTCAAATTCTGTGTTATTTCTGGTTCTTGATGCTTTTCTTTATCAAATAAATCATTTGCAGAACTTAGATTTAATCTCAGATATGAAGCTACAGATTCATCGTGATTTATTTTATTTTTATTTAAATTATTTAGATAAGTTGCAATATCCAATGATACGTTTGAGTCTAATATAGTATAAGTATTTTGTACATTGCCTGTTATTTTGTATTTCCATTGGTCAGTTGTATTTTGTTTAGCATTGTACATATTTTTAGTAGAAAATTCAATCGTATGTGAAGATTTATGTTCAAAATATGGGACATTTTTAATTGGCTCTAAATAAGGATGTTTATTTTTTCTTTTATTTTTGCTATTATAATGTTGATTGATATAGGATTTGTATTTATTTGATGTTACATAAGTATGGTGAATATTATTTTCGAGGTTAAAATTTTCCTTAGATTGTTTACTAATAAAACGTTTCAGATTTTTATTATTTCTTACAGCATCATTTAAATTAAATTTATGACTTTCAAAAGTCAGTTTAGGAAGCGATTTGTAGATATGAGATGTTATGTTAGTTTCTATATTATTATCATGTTTGATTCTTTTATTATGTTTATAATAATCTAAATTCGTAGATTCGTTTTCAATATTGGCAACACTGCTTTCAATATTGCTGTATTTCTTGTCTAAACATTCTTGAATGTTTTGCAAATTATCATTTTGCTGTCTAATATAAGAACTGTAATTAATATTAGGGAATTGTTCGATATTTTCATTGCTTGTATCATTTTCAATATTAAAATTGTTTCGTCTTACAGTAGGCAATTTCAGTTTCTCACGTACTTTGCTATAGTAATTATGTCCTTCGAAAGGCTTATGTACGGTATTTTCTTTATTAAAAGTGCAGACTTTTTGGCTATTTATTACTGTCTTTAATAGATCACTGGATTTTAAATATTCTGTTTCAAGTTTATTTAAAGGTGTAATACCATTAAATGCTAATTTATGTTCATAGTATAAATGAATATTGTCTCCACTTTGAAGAAAACTTTCTTTTGTATCACATATGTGAAGATTTGATTGTACTTTATTCTTATTATTTGTCTTTGGTGCTAATTTTTCACTATACATTTCAAATGCAGTTTCTTTCATGCATTGCTTCATTATGGGATCTATTTCTTCGGCCATTTTTTGTTTTTTCTTTTTAAATGCTGCTTTTAGAGGTGTCTTTACTTTATGAGCAGTATTCAAATAGTTATCATTTATTGTATTGTCTATTTCTAAATTGAAGTTCTCTTTAGCTTTACTAATGTCACCTGTTTCTTTAAATTTTTGATTATTTGTACGAGTATTAACTGTATTTAGTTTCTCATTTTGCTGAATAATTTGCGCAATATTTAGCTTAGTTTTAATTTTTTGCTTCTCTTTATAATCTTTAATTAATATCTTTAAATTATGATTATTTTCTGTTTGGGCATTCTTACTTGTTAATTGCAAATCCATGCTTATAGGAGCTTCTATCATTGAAGATAGGTTTTCAGGTATATTGAGGTTTTGATCAGTTGTTTTAATTTTATTACTTATTTTATGTATATTTTGAAATTGCTTTATACTTGTTTTTTTCTTTTTCTTAACTATCTTACCTATGACAAAATATTAAACTGTAAGTTTGAATTGAACAGCTTGCAAACATTGCTAATAAAATTAATTTCATGGCCATTTAAGCTATCTCTTAGTACATTTGTCTGATACTAAATCTACACTTAGTGCCTGTGAATCTGAGACTGCCAATAATTAAGTGCTGTATTACTTACCTTTAACACCTTTGCGCAATTGTGATATTTTGTGACCTTTACTTTTATTTTCTAATACTTTCTCCATAATTTTCCTCACTTCTTCTCGTGTATTTTCGATTTTGTTTTTTCTTTCAGTCTGTGCGACATCTAATTTTTTTAATTTAATATCTCCTTTATAAAATTGAACTAATTTTTCTAACAACTCCCGAATTTGTTTCCAATCTTTGAATTCTATAATTGTTTTTGTTGAAGATACATTAATATCATAGTCTAAATGTGGACATGTTATGAATATAAAGTATGAAGGTATTTCATTGTTTTGCATTTTATTTTCAAAATCAAGAAAATTATTCTGAAATAGAATTTTTATTGGTTACTAAATAGGAAATATTATTTCAAATTTCATCATAGACTACACACAGTTTTACATATGAACTTTACAATTTGTGACCTTATTTTGGAAATATAACAGAATTTTATAATATTGGTTTTTAGTTTGTTTACTTAAACCACCTATGTTATCTGCATTAACATAAATTGAAAAAAAAAATTGTACTTTCATATATGATGAATAAACTCAAAAACTACTACACTACAATCCAGTAGATAATGAATTTCTATCTCGTCTTTAGTCAACCAGTATTCGGAAAAAACTAAACTAATACAACTTTGATGCCCTTACCTTAGTCTTTACATTTTTATAGAACTGTCTGTTCTTTGTGAAATTGGAATTTATTACATCATGAAGAGGACTTTTATTGATAAATCTTCCATTCAAATATATCCATTGGTATGAACATATTTTAGCATTTTGTTTACTAATAAATCCTTTTGCTTTATATTGATGTTTTTCAATCTGTAATTCTTGGAAATCTTTTTGTTCTATATCATAAAGTGAAGAAAGTGTTTGGTATACATCTCTGTTTTTATGTACTTTAAATATTATTTCATTCCTGGAGTTGTCACGGAGACTTATTGAAACATTTGTATTAACTAGTGATAATTGTTGTAGAAATAATTTAATATTTTGCAATTCATTCAAAGGATTTGTAGCTTTTTTCTGAATATGCAAGTTATAAAGAAAGCCTTTTAATTCCACCTGCAGATTAAAAACATTACAAAAATAATAGAACTGTACTAAGGTGTATCTTTAGAGAATAATTTACTCACTGTGGTTCCTTTTGAAGGTCTCATTAAAGTTATTTGGCTGTCCTTGTACTGTCCTTTATAAAAAGTTTTAATCCATGTTTCATTGGCATCCTTGTGTCTGGTTGTTATTTTAACACATTGTGAAACTTCAATGATATTCGATAAAGATTCACCGCGGAATCCAAATTTAATAGGTGCACTTTTGAGTTCAGATTTGTCGGTGACTTTACTACTGGCATACCTCTGTCCCAAAAGAGGAATGTCACATTTCGCAATTCCAAAACCATTGTCAATAACTTGTATGGTATTGTCATAAATATTAATTCGTACAGCAACCGAAGTTGCATCGGCATCTAGGGAATTGTAGACCTGAAATTAAGATATTATAAGAATAAAATAAATTTACATTATTAGTAACTATTCGTAATTACCAATTCTTCGACAGCGTTTTTGTAGTTATTTATTTTGGAAGAAGCATTTAAAAGAGTTTGAACTTCAGTTGGCAGCTTTTTAATAATCATTTTACTTTAATTCCTTACATAATTTTGCTTTAATCAATGATTTGGCATGTACGTTCACATAAGTTCATTTGTTTTGATTATAAACAAAACGATAAACAAAGGGAGAGTATTATTTTGTCACATTATGTCACCTTAATCAAATATAAATTGTAGCCACATTATTCTTCATTTATATATTTTCTTCATACAATATCTTAACTAATATTAATTTTGTTTGGGCACTTCTTACTAGTTCTTGTTTTGTTTTTTTTTGACTCATTTTTTCATTACCACACCAAAGAGTACGAATTTAGACGACCATAGACAATTTCCAGTGAAAACTTTTTTTGCTTTTTAGACACTAATGTCAAGCAGTCAAGGACTTAAAAATTAAATAAACCTGATTCTGAATATTTTTTAAAGATAATAAGCTTTACTATTTTAACTAATATATATGTTGCACGTATTCGTTTTCTTGTTCATTTAAGGCAGTATAACAGTGGAAGGCAGGATTTGAATCAAAAGTTTTTTCTTTCGGTGACCATAGTCTTAAACGTAAGGTCCCCATTAGACTTTGTTTGACCATGTGTCATGTAAAATTCTTATCTCGGAAATTTAATATCAGATGACGCTTCGATGATGCACATTAATTTCTTTAGCGACCGGGAGATGGAACACTTCAAAATAGATTAGGATGACATCACTTTTCAAGTTGCATCTTAAACCTATTTATTATTGGATTAAAGCATCGTGTGCAATTGCATTGCAAAGGAAGTAACAAGTATCTAGTCATAAAAGACTACACTTTCATCATTTTTGTGCAGTACATTTATCTTTACCTAAAGTGTGAAAAAAAATTTAGTAAATGCGCATTTATTTAAAACCTATCCGTAAGTTTTTACTGCCTGAAACTATGATATGACATCTTATTTTTGTCTTAATGGAACCCGATAGTAATAAATATCATACAAAGCAAACGGCTTGTACACCAATTGACATGTGACACAATTTATAAAGGAAAACTAACATTACAAACAACATATACATTGCTTTCTGTTTTGCAGGGATATCGATTGATTTCAACCCTGAATATTGTAGTACATAACTATAGATATGTAGACATTTGTGGAGGACAAGGGTTGAAGTAGATGCCAGCAGTTCCCATCGTAGTACACTGTTATCAAATCGTGTTGATGTCGCGCGATAACATGGTCAATTTGAAATGAAAATATTTAACACATAAAGTTAGGGCTGCCAACTGTGTTTAAGTTTGATGGCAAATATAACATTCGTAACACGCAGTATTAAGTATTTTTATTATGAATTTAAGTTTAGAAGAGGAGATTAAAATATTTTGGGAGTATATTAAGAGGTGAGTATAAATTCTCTACTTATTACACTAGTAAAAAAGTTTGCCAAATAGTAAAAGTGAAGGTCCAGCTACAAGTAATTACATATAATTGGTTAATCATAGTTCACGCCATAATATTAATAAAACATGATTTTATTAACGTTAATGATTAATGGATGACTTTTAAAAATATCTAAAACAGTAGTAACAGCGCGAGGAGTCACACTGATAAAATATTTGGAACGTAAATTGCATATTCTTGGAACTAAAGAACAAAATATCTGGAAGATAAAAACATTTCACAAACATGACTAATAGAAACTCCGATATATCATGGTTCGTAGCTTAATAAGGCGGATTTGAAGAGTCCTAGGTTGATTCCCTACATAATCCCGAACCTACATTGCACGGTGTCGTCACTGAGGAGCGCCTGCGGGCGCAGCGCCCCATTGGGGGCGCATTGAGGAGCCCCATTCTCGGGCTGGTCAGTGGGGCGTCGCGGTGGTAAGTTAACACGATCCCGTGGCGTCCCACATTATGGCAGAGGGGTTTAGTGGGTATGCTTCCCATTCGGGGAGAGAATCCCACATAACTACCGTGCCTTCCCCGAGGCACGGAGTATGCCTAAAGCATTCCCCTCTGAAAAAAAAAGGTCTATAGGTCTCACTACTCTAAAAGAGTATTAGGGGTACCTACTATTATATCAAATTCATCAGCAAGCAATTATCGTGAGTCACTACATAGTACTTTTAAATACAAACTGCAATCGCATGTCTAAAGAACCTTGCAACAATAGAATAATTGTTATTTACATTTGTTAACTAAATATTTTCACTGGCTACCTGACTAGTAATTTTGTGTCATTGATGTATTGTTCTTTGGCCCTAACGAATTTTTATTATGAAATATACTATCTTACAAAGTTATTATTTCCCCTAAAGTTATTCTTTTTAAAATACGTTATGTGTAGGTTTAGGACTATAGACTAGTCATCCCCAACTAAGGGCAGGCTCTGATTCCCTTAGTCTGTACTACTACTACTACTGTACGTCTGTACGTATCGTATTGCCTAATCTATTATTCAAACTATAGATGTGTTCATGGCAGTGGAAACCCTATTTATTATAAGACATAGAATTATATACCTTATTATATACATATATAAAAGAACTAAACTTACCTATGCAATTATGTATGTTATTCTGTACGTTTCAATACCGTATTGCTTCAGTTTTTTACTTTCTTGTAACAATCGTGAGAACTCGTAAAGCTGATCTGTTTCTATGAGTCGAAGTCGTATTGTTATTGATTAATTTATCGTTCGTCCTTGGCGGGAATTCAAGGGTGTTCCTTAGTGACCAATTAACGACTTTGTGTACAGCAGTTAGTCTAATATCTGTAATCATGTACTGACCTTTTTTTTGGAATTTCGATCGAAGATATTTATCTCAGTTTTTTCAGAGATATGGAAAGCGATGTTAATATCTTTTTGTGCCAGTCTTGATTGACATTTTATTTCAATATTGCCTTGTTTGTTTACAATGGATATTGATTTTAAACAATGGCTTGTTGGAAAGAAATGTACTGAAGACTTTTTAAAACTTCGACTTATCAATAAAACTTTTCATTTAATAAGGACAAATATAATTTGATGTGTTTTAACTGTACCAAAATGGAAAAAAAAAATTAAAAGAAAAGAAATTTATACGTTTGTATTAAACTTTTTTATAAAAGTTTTAAATACAAAAAAGTTTCCGCGATCTTTTGTTACGGTGCACTATTTCTATATTCCCGTTGTTTTTCTACATTCCGATGTTTTGACGAATCTTTTATCTTTCGGTTATTGTTAACTTACCATTGCTAAAACAATGTCCAAAAGATAACCTGATATCCTAAGGGACCAAATCGATATAAATAGAAAAGGTACAATTCAAAAGTTACATTACCTATTTTGGATTCATCGAGTATACTACGTAAGAACTCAAAGTAAGTTAAATTTTGAAATACTGTTACTTCTTTATTTGTTAACAAAAATACTTTAATAAACGATATATTATGTTTTTTTCAGATGTACAAATCAGGGATTTTATTGTTAGCAATCGTTTATGCAACCTTAGCTGCTGAAATCCCAGCACCTAATATGCTGGAGAAACTATCAACTTTCAAACCTGTTGATATATCAATGGAAACACAGCATGTTTTCAAAAAAGATATACAGTACGAAAAAGAGCATCATCCTGTATACAGAGGTGAAGATTACAAGAACGAAGGTAGAGCGAGGATAGAGCCAGTAAGATCTCAAGGACCGGTTGTGAAACATGATATGTTAGCTGATGACTCCGCCGTAGGTTCTACCGATGTCAATAGAGTGGTAAGTTACATTGTTATTTAAAAGGCTTTTGAAGTGAACTTATTTTGATAAAAATACTTGATTGAAGTGTTTACATAAAAATACTCTAATAAGTGTGCTCTACATCCCTTACCGTTGGTTTCATACCGGCATTCCTGTCATTATCATTGTCAAGGTAGAGATAACAATATGTTTTAAACGGAGACTTTGTTGTCAGAAACCCACGATTAGTCGTGTCGCGTTAAGCTCTAAGAGATTTAATGCTAGAGCTAGAGATTAAGCTATAAGAGAGATTTAATGCTAGAGGAGTATTTAAGAGTAATAGAAATTGTGATTGTTTCATTAATTTTGTAGGACAATTTACCTTTACCCGAATACGGTTACGGACACCCACCATCGGAAGTAGCATATCCTGATATTCCATATGCTCCTGGGTATGGTTACGGCAATGGGTATGTAAAAAGGCAATATTTCGTTAGTTACATTTGCTTTATGTATATAAAATGTATTTATGTCCTATAATCAATATCCTAGGAACCTACTAAGTTTGATCAGCAAAAGCAATGGCTTTAAATATGTTAAGATTTTATGTTTTTAAAATTTTATTTTATAATTTTCAGTTACGATGTATATGGGAATAGTCTGAGCGATTACCTGTTAGAGCCTGATACGTCAACCTTTGGACTTCTTTGGAGCCAAGTGCCTGATTCTAGAGTGAGTTTTAAACTTGCTTGTTTATAGTTTTTCATAAGAGCTTAGCTTCGAATTCTTAACCTTATTTTAACTCTTCTCTCTCTTGGAATGTAATGAAATTAATCAAGTTTTGTTTTAAACATTTTCAGATAATTGTTCACTTGATGGGCAGAACTATCGGCTGGATCTTGAACAGCGTCTTCGTTTTACTCATTGGGTCTCTTATCACCGTTGGAGTTTGTTCCTACACTAATCTGTGCACAATAACATTTCAAGGAGTCGGTCCCATACATGAAGAAATGAGGTCTTTCATAACACCAGAACGCTTAGAGAAGATCAGTACTGCTGCCAACTTTGTGAAGACGGCCATAGACAAATACCAAAAGATACAGAAAGTTACAGACCAGGGTATTAGAAAACGAAGTGTATTGTAAATTTAAAGAATCAAAATTTCAATTATCATTTTAAATAGATGGATATATTCTAGTAAAATTATGTTATTTTTATTATTGAATAGCTGTAGCCCACTTTATGTGTCCAGACTATGTTCTACATCCATGCCCAATTTTATCGAGATCCGTGAATACTTTCTAGAGATACCTTCTAACAAACATTCATCCATCTATACACCTTTCCATCCATCCTAATTATTCGTATTTATAATATTAGTAAGATTTAGTAACACGTTATTTTTTTAGAGATTTACAATAAATGGGAAAGGATTTCTTTTTTGAAGAAAAGCAAAAAACAAAGTTAAAAATTATTTTATACTGATCGTATATTTTTATAAAGTTGTATGTATGGTATACTATACAAAATGAACATAAGGGTTATATAGAAATAATAAGAGAATTGCCTAGGCTCAGTTACAAACAGAGAAAAGATTTGATAAGGCGAAAGAAGTCATGTAGTAAATTAGATTAAAATGAAACAATACCGCAAAAAGGGGGCAACGTACTATAAATATAAATGTCCTCTAAATATTCTGCAATTATGTACTTGTTTGTGCATAAATGTTTTCCTTTGCTTGCGCCAAGTCTGATAACATTCTATTTAATTTTTATTTTTTTTTATAGTTGTAGAAACTGGCCACCAACATTTTATACATACATATATTTATATAGTCTGTTAGATCTTAATAAGACCCAACAAATTATATGTTAAACTTGATTTATTTTGCAATAAAAAAATTTGAAATATTTACGACTTATAAACAAAAGTTAAATTAGCTTAATTTTCCTTATACTTAATGTTAAAGCCTTGTCTTTATTCTATCTTAAAAGTTACGAATTTAAGCATTGTTATGCATGTGTTTAAAATGATTAATAATAATAAATACAGTAGTTATTTACGTAAACATGTAAATATATTTTTATATCTTAATCAGGATAATAATAAATAATCAATTGATTATCTTATATTTATCTGATATATAATATACGTTGTTTGAGCTTCTGGAATCTTAAACGGGTAATAAATATATTTTATTTCTTATAGATTAGATAACTCTACATTCATATTGATTTTATGCACATTTATTTTGTAATTTTTATCACCTTTTTATAAACTTATTTAGTTTTAAGGTATACTAATACAATCAATAAACATAAAAAACTGTTAAACTCACATATGTTTCTCCCACATAGGGATTGTCATCGTGTTCAAAAACGACAACGTCATATGTAATCATAAAAATAATTTGTTGAATGAAAAAGTATTTTTTTCATAAAAGTGCAGTGTAATAGAATAATGATTGATAAATAAATAAATAGGTGCACTACATATCAAGTCAACTTCAAATTCAAACTTCAGTTTTTATAATTGGTGACCCCGAAAAGCATCAAGATTGGTGACTCCGACAAGTATCATAATTGGTGACCCCGACAAGTATCATTATTGGTAACCCCGACCTGATACTATAAAGGTTATAATAATATCAGTACAATTTATTTTATCAGAAGTTAATGTTCAGTGACACCTTTTACATTTCCGTTATCTCTACTTATAAACAATATTGTTTTGTAAACATTAATATGCTTAGTATATTTATCGGTACATTTTAATTAATGTAGGTGTATATTTTTTATGGAAAGGGAGGTGACCTATAATATCGTATTAACTTATATACATATTGTAGGAGGAAAAGTTAATGATATAAAGTAGAGGTCAAGGAAAAGAGGGATTAATCATAAAATTATTTTACCTTCCCGCCAATATTCTAAGAGGCCCTTGTAATTTATATAATGTAGACGTAGTAAGATAAGGCGCCCGATCGCGTCACACAATTTATTAAAATGATGACGTCACAAATGTCTTTTTGTTAATATTCTAATATAACCTTATATCATCTCTAAATTAAGTCATTATGAGCGTTAGTCAGTTGTTTTTCAATTTTAATCTCACTATTTTCGCATTACAAGTGAAAAAAAAACAATTCGCACTAAGCGTTGTATGTGTAACCATATAACAACAGTAATAAACATCCACTATCATGTATTTACCACGAGGGACAGTAATCATATGTGCATGATTAGCAAATTGTATATTTACTTCATGTGTCTTGTACTTCACCATCTTGCTAATATTGTAATTGCGATTTAGATGGATGTATGTTTAAAGATATCTCCGGAACAGCACAACGGATCTTGATGAAATTTTTCATAGATGTGGAACATAGTCTAGGAGAACACATAGGCTAATTATCAAATTTTTTAATTCGGCGGTCCGAGTCGCGGGCGACAGCTAGTTGGATAGACACTTTTACACGACAGTGTATTTTTTTATAATTTATCTGGTTCCTGACAATGATTAAAAATGTTCAGTTTATGTAAAAATTGCTCAAACAACTCTATATTTTGTAGAGCTGTTTGCGCAGCTGTAAGCCATAATTAAACTAGTACAGTTCATATTGTTTGAAAACTATATTACTTTGTATCATAAATTATTCATAACGTGACAATAAATTAATTCCTTTTCATTTTACACATATAGGTTCCGAGTTTGACTCCATCTCTTAATCTATTAACATAGTATCGATCGTATTTACTATCGATTTGTTCTCTCACATAAATGACATAATTATGAAGTCATTCCGTGCCGTTCCGAAAAAGTATTTAATAGAAGAAAACATTAGGGTTTTAAATATTTATCAGCCGTTTATTTTTTTGGATTGTACAGCACCTTTTGTTTAGTTTAAAAGAAGTCACCGGAGACCCGTTAGTTAAGAAGCATGTTGGAGAATTTTTTCATTTGTTATGTCTACAAAGTGAATTGAATATAATACAAATTGTTCGATGTCAAATAAAGTAGGTCAACTAAGTTATTAAAAGCGTTACTAATATTCCATTTGGATGATGCTATATTAAATAAATGCGTCATTTAATGAATCACTAAGCAGACGTTAAA